CCGGCGGTGGTCCCGGTGGACGCATCGCATCCTGCTCCGGCGGTGGTCCCGGTGGATGCATCGCATCCTGCTCCGGCGGTGGTCCCGGAGGACCCATCGCATCCTGCTCCGGCGGTGGTCCCGGAGGACCCATCGCATCCTGCTCCGGCGGTGGTCCCGGAGGACCCATCGCATCCTGCTCCGGCAGTGGTCCGGGAGGACCCATCGCATCCTGCTCCGGCGGTGGTCCGGGAGGACGCATCGCACCCTGCTCCGGCGGTGGTCCGGGAGGACGCATCGCACCCTGCTCCGGCGGTGGTCTCTGAGGACGCATCGCACCCTGCTCTGACGGTGATCTCGGAGGACGCATCACACCCTGCTCTGACGGTGATCTCAGAGGACGCATTGCATCCGGCTTCGACGGATGAGGTCCAAGAGGCCCCGGTCCCGGCCCAGCCTGTCCAAGGGGCTCCGGCCCAGTCTGTCCAAGGGGCTCCAGTCCAAGGGTCGACGCCTCCAGGCTCTGAAGAGGACCTCTCCTGCCCCTGCTCTGAAGAGGACCTCTCCTGCCCCTGCTCTGAAGAGGACCTCTCCTGCCCCTGCTCTGAAGAGGACCCCTCCTGCCCCTGCTCTGAAGAGGACCCCTCCTGCCCCTGCTCTGAAGAGGACCCCTCCTGCCCCTGCTCTGAAGAGGACCCCTCCTGCCCCTGCTCTGAAGAGGACCCCTCCTGCCCCTGCTCTGAAGAGGACCCCTCCTGCCCCTGCTCTGAAGAGGACCCCTCCTGCCCCTGCTCTGAAGAGGACCCCTCCTGCCCCTGCTCTGAAGAGGACCCCTCCTGCCCCTGCTCTGAAGAGGACCCCTCCTGCCCCTGCTCTGAAGAGGACCACTCCTGCTCCTGCTCTGAAGAGGACCCCTCCTGCTCTCAAGTTCCCCAGTCTGAAGTTCCCCAGTCTGAAGTTCCCCAGTCCCCTCGTAGTCGTGGTCCAGTTTCCCCTCGTAGTCCTCGTCCGCCAGTGTCCTCTGTCACCACACTCCTACAGTCCCGGCTCCTGGTTCCCCGTCGCCGGCCCCCCAGACTCCCACGGTCCCGGCTCCTGGTTCCCCGTCGCCGGCCCCCCAGACTCCCACGGTCCCGGCTCCTGGTTCCCCGTCGCCGGCCCCCCAGACCCTTACGGCCCTCCTTCCTGGTCCCCCTCCTCCCGCCCTGCTCTGGCCCTCCTTCCTGGTCCCCCTCCTCCCACCCTGCTCTGGTTTCCTGTGGGCGTCTGGTATCCGCCCTTGAGGGGGGGGTTCTGTCATGACTCCCATCCTTCACCCTCCTCCACTTCCTCATTATACCTCCTCATTCAGCTCACCTTGTCCTCTCACCAAGCTCCAGCCAAGCCCTGTTTTCCCCAGCAACCTCTGTCAGCTTCAATCAGCTCCATTCATTCCACCTGCTCCTGTAATCAGCCTCATCCCATTCACCTGCTTCCCCTGCTATAAAAGAACCAGCCATCCAGTCAACCGATGCCAGATTATTACAGCCTTGTCATTAGTTCTCCAGCCATCCACCCTGCCTGATCTTTGCCTCTGGACCTTGTTTTTTGCCTGACCCCTGCCTTGCTCTCTGCCTGCCACTTTGACCTTAGCCTGCCTCTGAACCTGCCTCAGCCTTGCCCTCCAGGTACCTCTGCTTTCAATAAAGACTTTTTATATATATTTTTACTGTGTTGGCGTCTTCACGGGTCTTCTGAGTTCTGTTTGTGACAAATACCTCCTCTGGGCAGAGCTGTCCCACAACATTCACACCTCTTCAACCACTCAGATGTCCCCTTTCGAGGTCTGCTAATGGCTACCAGCCCCTGGTTTTCGCCCACCAGGAGCCCAAAGTGGTTGTGCCGGCCACGCAATCCCTGGTGAGGCGCTGCAAGAACGCCTGGATCAAGGCACGAGCTTCTATCACCCAAGCCAACACCCGTTATGCTCGCCAACATCTCCGCTGACACCGTCCTGGTCCCTCCTATGTCCCTGGGGATAAGGTCTGGGTGTCCACCGTGGACCTCCATTTCCGTGCTGGATCCAAAAAGCTCGCTCCCCGGTTCCTCGGGCCTTACACGATACAGAAAGTCATCAACCCAGTCTCTTACCAACTGCGATTACCGGTGTAACGGAATAGAGTGATGTAACTATCTAGAGTTGTATTTTAATACACTGTAAGTAGATCACTTGTAATAATCAGAAGATAGGCTGTTTTTATCAACAGGGAGTTTAATTAAACACTCTGTATTGACTTTGAGACAAGGAAAGAGAGAGAGTTGGGATCGTTTGAGAATCTTTAATTTCTTAATTATAAATTCTTAACAATCTACCAGGACTAACTCTGTGATGGATGAAAATGGATTTGGATGTTGTGTTGGTGCGTGTGTGTGTGTGTGTGTGTGGTTGGTTCAGACTCCTTAGGCTGACGTCATTGAATCTGGTCGTCTTTGTTATGACTAGATATCACGAGGCTTATAAAGTGATGACATGAGCTGCTATTTTGCCGTGTACGTACCCAGTGGGGGGCCTCCCAGGTAGATCAGGAAATGCCAGGTCCAAGAACCTCGGATGTGTACTGGAGCTGTTCGGAGCTGCGGTCGCAGCACGTCAAAGCCCGTCTGAAGGGTCGACCCCGGTACCAATCGGCAGCGTCAGCAGGTGCTCTTATTTTGAAAGGATGTCGTCTGGTTGTTAAACGACGAAAATCTCCAACTTCACAGTTCTTAGTTTAAAGAAGAAAACACATCTGGCCAGGCTGTGCTTTTCTTTGGGATGACGGTGACTAGAACTGAAGTCAAAATGGAACTGAGCTTAAAATGGCGTTGCCTTAATTTATATCTCTGAATTGTTGATAAGTTTTAGTAAAGCGGATTGGACACTTTAAGTCAACAAGCCAGATTCTCCTGCGGCAGCCGAAAGCTCTGATTGGTTGGAACAACGTGTCATGCGTTTCTATGGAGATGAGGATCAGTCTGTCTGTGCAATAGTCCTGTTTTCATTAAACACATAAATCATGACATCTTTATTCCACAGATCATTCACTTGATTATTATTGATCAACATATGTTTTGCTTAATTTTTTCAATCACAAATAAAGTACTTTGATTAAGTAAAAGCGTTCTTCTTCTCCTTCGGACTCTTCTCCTGGAATGTAAACAGTCTGAGGAACACCCGACCTTGGCTTTTATACACGGGTGTTACTGTGTACAGGGGCAGCTGTGTGGAGCTGAAAATTCCGAACTTCATAACCTTACACCGGCGACTCTCCGCATCCATCCCACCTTCCACGTCTTCCGACTCAAGCCCTTTGTGGAGTCCTCCCTGCTTCCGCCTCCGGCTTCGGCGCCTCCGCCTGCCCGCTTCCTCGATGTTGAGCCCATCTATACTATCCGGCGCATCCTGGACGCCCGTCGCAGGGGTCGGGAATGGCAGTACCTTGTGGACTGGACGGACTACGGCCCGGAGGAACGCTCCTGGGAACCGTCCCACTCCATCCTGGACCCGGCCCTGATCACTGACGTCTGGGACCGCTGGGGCCGCCCTGGGACTTCAGGATGGGTCCTGTCAGAACTCAAGTCCCCAAACCGGTCCCTCCCAGCTAGCCGGCCTCCACCACTGACCACAATTACCAGCATGCCCCTTGCAGTGATTCCCTCCACGTCACACCTATGTCATGAACCGCGCCTATATACGGAGGTCGTCTCCCCAGCTGATCACTCAGTCATCGTTTCTTCGAATCCATGATCAGAGTTACCAATCTACCGATCCACCTCACGAACTCTCTGCTCACAGTAAGTGGTCTTACTTACTTCTGGAAAACCCAGCACTTCCGTGTCACTTTGTTGACGCTCGAACGCTCAGGGATTCCTAGATTAAATCGCGAGCCGGCGTTTCACCGGCGCTCTCACTTCTGCATCTGTGAAACCACGCTCTCAACAAGCTCAGCTCCCGACCCCAGCCAATCAGTCTGACACCCTGGGTCCCGGGTCATTGGGTCCCGGGCTCGGCCGGCTAGGGGTGGGAGGATTAAATAAAGCCATTTTTACAAAACAATGACGTCGATTTGCCGCAACGCCGTGGCAGCATCAGGGAGCCTACTTTGTTTATAAGTGGTCAGACCGTGGCGATAATGTGGCACCATCGTGTCCTTTTTTCTAAAAGATTAGGCCATGTCGCTATTAATGGGGTATGGGGTGGTCTCTGCGCTGCTAAGGACTTCTGTTCATTTTGGACATAACTTGCTTTTATTGTGATCGAAGTTGTCCTCGTTGCATTTTTTTAACAAGCCGCGCCTAAAGGTGTCAGTCCCCCACCGTACCTGGGCAGCCTCTGATCTGAGCTGCAGCTCCTGGAGCTCTGCAGCGCTCCCGTTTATCATCTCAGCTGATTCTGTTCACAAAAGCAAAACTCATGGCCCGTTTTTAGTTTCATTTTAAATATAGTCGCCGGCCGGAGCTTGGCAATAACTCCCCATGTGATCATGGCATCTCCCTCTGTTGCACTAAGGTGTAACATGCATTCAAAAGTCTGGTGTCGCTGCAATACAGTAATATTAACCAAGCGTGTATGGCGGCACAAATGCTGCAAAACTTCAGCGTCGCTATGCCACCACGGCACGTTCATATGACTCGCCGTGGCAGCAGTATTACGCTGATTTGTCAAGTGGTGTGTCTTCTAAAATAGGCTGGAGTCGTGTCACTGTCAGCCAGTTAGAGGCGATGCGTGAATATTAATGATCAAGACACACCAAGTTCACCTCCACCCCTCTGACACACTTGTACCCCCTGAAACTGGAGTGTGAGGCTTTTTCATCCAAAAACAACTCACAAGCCATTCATTCATTCTGGAGAGTGGAGACCATTATTAAATGAGTGGATGAGAGCTTTAAAGCAATCCCAGCAGGTGTCACTTCCATGTTCTTGCTTTAGCTGGACTGAACCATAACTTCAGTCCTCAGGCAGACATATCATTCACATAATAACTGAATGTCCACAGCAGC